ATCATACACACATTGTTTTATTTTTCTTATTTTTCTTATTTTATTTTATTTTTGTTAACGACATTCTTGAAAAATTTAATTACATTCCTAAAAATATTTTACTTGAATCAAACATAAAAATAATATGTATATTTTTTGAAAGTACAATATATTATTTATAATAAAATTAAGGGATTAGTATTTATTCTTTTAAAATATATAAAGTTATAACATTTTAATAAAAATTATAGTATTTTATAATTAAAAAAAGAGTTAGACAATAGAAATCATAACGAAAGAAAATGTTTTTTTGTGCACTTGGAATGTTAGAGGAGCAGGGAAGAAAGGCCTCTCTGCACTGCTAAAAGACTTTGTTACAACTAATCGTATTCAGCTGCTGGTTTTGATAGAAACAAGGATTGGTGGTAGGAAGGCTGAAAAGATTTATAAAAAAATAGGTTTTGACAGCCAATACCACAAAGACCCGATTGGCTCAGGAGGAATCTGCCTTTTGTGGAATAAGAATGAGGTGGAAGTGAATATCCTCGAAGCTGCACACCAATTTGTTCATACTAAGTTGTCTTGGAAAGATTCATCTCAGGTAGAATTCTTCACAGCCATTTATGGCAGTCCTAGAAGAATGGAAAGAACGGCTTTATGGGAAGACCTAGAGAGATTACAAAGCATGACCACTGGACCTTGGGTTCCCATGGGGGACTTCAATGCCTACCTTAGCCCGGCTGAAAAGAAAGGTGGTAGTGGGGCTGCTTGGAACTCTATCCAAGAATTCCAAGATTGTCTGGATTGCTGTGGTTTGAATGATTTGGGGTTTAATGGCCCTAATTTTACTTGGAAAAGGGGAAATCTTCTGGAAAGACTAGATAGAGCTGTATCTAATGAGGAGTGGCTTCACCTCTTTCCTGACAGAACTGTCACTCATCATCATTTAAATGGGTCTGATCATAGGCCAATCATTTTGGGGGAGCACATACAGATGAATTCTAACAGAGGCATGAAACCCTTTAAATTCCTGGATGCATGGCTGTTGCATAAGGATTTTGATAACATTGTCACCTCTAGTTGGGCTAGGAATGTGGATTGGAATTCTGCCATTGATAGATTCCAGCAATCTGCCTCGGCTTGGCACTATTCTACCTTCTTGGAGATGCTGAAAATGAAAAGAAGAATCCAGGCTAGACTTAGAGGTATTTATAAGGAGCTTGATAAAGGTCCTGACAGCACCCTGGAAACTCTTCATAAGGATCTTTGGCAGCAACTCAATTCGATTTATATCAAGGAGGAGCTGAGTTGGTTTCAGAGAGCTAGGAGGAACTGGTTTAATTATGGGGACAAGAACGCCAGATTTTTTCATACTTCTACTCTTATTAGAAGAAGAAGGAATAAGATCAAGTGCTTGGAAAATGCCCTTAGAGACTGGACGGATGACCCTACCTCTTTGCAAGCCTTGGCCTTAATTTTTTTTCAAAATCTGTACTGTGAAGACAGACCTTTGAAACAAAAATTCGTCATCCAAGGAGCCTTCCCCAAGTTACATGAGAGAACTCTTTCTGCTCTAAATAGATTGCCTATGGAGGAGGAGATTAGAAAGACAGTCTTTAGCATGAATCCTTACAAGGCTCCAGGAGCTGATGGCCTGAATGCTCTCTTCTTTCAAACTAACTGGATCAACATCAAGGATTCTGTTGGATCTCTCATCCTGGATATCTTCTCTGATCCAGCAAGGGTTGCCAGCATTAATCAAACTCTCATTTGTTTGATTCCCAAGGTGGACAATCCAGAATCCATTGCTGAATTCAGACCCATCAGTCTCTGCAATGTGGTTTACAAGCTCATCACCAAGATCATAGCCAATAGGCTAAAGAGCCACATGTCTTACCTGGTCATGCCAAACCAATGCAGCTTTGTCAAAGGGAGGCTGAGTGCTGACAATATCATTATAGCACAGGAGATGATTCATTCCATGAGGGGAAAGAAAGGTATGAAAGGATGGATGGTGATTAAAGTAGATCTAGAAAAGGCTTATGACCGGATAGACTGGACCTTCCTTCATGATACCCTTTTGGATCTTGGCCTCCCAAGTGAACTCAGAAATCTAATCATGTGCTGTGTCAACTCTAGTTCTATGAACATTTTATGGAATGGAGAAAGAACATAAGATTTCAATCCTACTAGGGGATTAAGACAGGGGGACCCCCTTTCACCCTATCTTTTTGTTCTCTGCATGGAGAGATTGGCCCACCTCATTTCTCATGCAACCTCCCAAAAGATGTGGAAACCAATAAGGTTATGTAGGAATTCCCCTCCTATCTCTCATCTCTTCTTTGCAGATGACCTTCTCTTGTGTTGTGAGGCCTCTCTGGACCAAGCTGCAGTGGTAAATGATGTCCTAAACCATTTATGTGAAGCTTCTAGGCAGAAAGTAAACAAGAGTAAAACAAAAGTCTTCTTCTCGAAAAATGTTAATCACAATAGAGTGATGATGGAGATCAGCCAGGAGTTAGGTGTTGATCCCACTGCTGACTTGGGAAAATATTTGGGGATTCCCATTCATCACCAAAGAGTGGGGAAAGAAATCCTTTAAGTTCATCCTTGATAAGGCAAACAAGAGGCTGAATTCCTGGAACCAGAAAGCTTTAGCTATGGCAGGTCGAGTCACTTTGGCCAAAACTGTAATGGCAGCCCTCCCCACTTATACCATGCAAACATCCTCCCTTCCACTTGGTATCTGTGAAGAGTTAGAGAAAAAGACCAAGGGATTCATTTGGGGCTCTAGTCAGGGAGCTAGGAAAGTTCATGCCCTTCCCTGGAACTCCATCTGCAGGCCTAAGATTGAAGGTGGGTTGGGGATGAGAAATATGAAACAGCTAAACCAGGCATTCATTATGAAGATTGGTCATGGCATCATCACTAATCCTGAGTCCCTTTGGGCTAGAGTACTAAGAAGTAAATACAAGTTGGAGAATAACATGATCCCAAAACTGAAACCTGTCCAGAATGCCTCCAATCTTTGGAGAGGTGTATCTAAAATCTGGCCTCAGGTTCTAAAAAATACAAGGATCATGATTGGAGATGGATTGAGCACTTTTTTTTGGCATGACAAATGGGTTCCTGGGTTCTATCCTCTTATTAATGCTGCCTCTCAAGATATAACTACTGTTGCACTTGATTGGAAAGTTGGGGATATAAGGGGTAATGATGACTCATGGAACTGGCAAATGTTCAAGCATCTTGTATCTCCAGAGGCAGTTAATGCCATAGCGGGTGTTCTCCCCCCATCGCCATTAAATGGCAGTGATAAGGCTATTTGGCTAAACTCAAGTGATGGGTCCTTATCTGTCAGCACTGCATACAAAGCTTTGGAAGAAAATTCCTCACACTGCCCTCATCTCAACTGGAACCTCATTTGGAGTTGGGATGGGCCTCAAAGGATAAATTTTTTTTTATGGCTTCTTATGGGGGAGAACCTGCTCACGAACTGCCGCAGGGTGCAAAGACATATGGCTAGCTCTAATATCTGCCCGAGATGTCAAACCTTTGCTGAAACCAACATCCATGTGTTTAGAGATTGCAAATGGGCTACTGCAATCTGGAAGAAGCTTCCTCTTCCTTGTAGCTGGTAAGTTTTTGCTTCGGGTAACATAACTAGCTGGCTTCATTATAATCTCTCCTCTCATTCTACTACAAATGGTAACACTGATTGGCCTCTCTTGTTTGGCATCATCTGTTGGATGATTTGGAGTGATAGAAATACATTTGTATTCTCCAATCAAAGCATCTCTGATGCAATAGTTGTGAGAAGTGCAATTGTATATCTAAATAATTTCAAGGAAGCGCAACTCAGCTTATCAAAAGCTGGTATCCAACCTAAACAGAAAGTGGAATTGCAAGTTCAATGGTTAAGACCTGCACCTGGTTGGATCAAACTGAACGTGGATGGATCAAGCACAAATGGAGGTGTGAATACAGGCTGTGGAGGGGTTTTCAGAGATGAAAATGGAAGATGGAGATTAGGATTTGCTAAGAATCTTGGATTCGGTACATCAGTTAAAGCAGAACTCTGGGGGATCCTGTTCGGGTTAACAATTGCTTGGGATTATAATTTTAGGAAAATACAGCTTGAGAGTGACTCCAAAGTGGCCTTGGAGTTCATTGAAAAAGGCAGCAACCCAAGTCATCCCCTAGCTGCTCTTATTTGTAGGATACAAGAGCTTCTGAGTAGAAGTTGGGAGATCAAGATCTACATACAAAGAAGGCAACAGTGTTGCGGATTGGCTTGCAACTCATGCTCAAAACAAGGCTGGGAACTCATAGTATTGAGGGATATTCCTAATGATTGTAGAGATAGAGTTCTCAATGATTGTAGGGGCACCTTCGGGCTGCAATGCTCTAAGTACTTTTGTTTCTTTATTTTCCTTTTAATTAATTTAAATATTTTCTCAAAAATAAAAAACAGTCATTTTAACTTAAAATAATAAATATTTTTTTTCCTAAAATTAAATAATAATTAATTTATTTTTTCATCTTTCCTAATAACGAGAGAGTATTTGGTGGGACGGGAGTATGGTGATCCCCTTCCAAAATGGAAAAAAAAGTAGGGATTGAGAGGGAAAAAGTCAAAAAGGAAAGGATAAAAGTGGAAGAAAAATTTCTATTTATGGTAAAGGACCACTGAATGAATGATGGGACGAGAGCACAATAAATTTTTCCCCTGATAACAACAAGATTATTTATTGTGGTCCGGGACTACCATTCTTTTGGTGGTCCCTTAGTGTAAATGGAAGGGTAAAAGTAGAAAAGAAAAAAATAACAAGGGTAAAAAAAAAAGAAAAAATTGATGTTGTGAGAGGGAAAACCGAATTATTGGTGGTCTCCGGCATAAAAAATATTTACGCTAACAACCGCACTGTAGTTCGCACGTGCGTAGTTCAAATCATCAAACCTGCGCCCGCAATTCAAAACCCTTTCTTCACTTCATTTCACTCCACATGCCCAAACCAGAGAAGAGGAGGCAATGGAACTCACTGAAGAGCAAAGAAAACAAGTGGAAGCGAACCGTGCAGCAGCGATCGCAAAACGAAAAGCATTCTTAGAATCTCAACCTCAAACAGAAAGAGGAGAAGGAGGTCCCTGGCACCTTTTCAAATGCCAGAAGTTCTCGCACCACACCGAACCCAAACCCAAACCCGAACCACACAAGTTCCTCGCCAGGCTCGAAATATGCTCCCCCGATTCATTCTCCATCACCCCACTCCCTCTCCGCAATTTCCCCTTCCCTGGCGAACACAATTGCTTCGCCACCCTAAACGACACTCTCTCACACGTAAAACTCAACAATCAAAACCCTTTTTTCTTTCTTTCTTTTTTTTCTTTCGTTCTTTGTTGCTAATATTTTTATTTTATTTTGATCTCAGGTGATTCCTTCTCACTACACGCAGATCAGCGGTGGCGGACAGGCCTCCGTGTACAAGCTGGCCGATTACTGCGCCGTCGTGAAGCGGTTGAAATGCGTGGCGGCGGGGGAGATGATGCAGGTGGAGGAGATTCCGTGGGCGACGTTCAGTGTGGTGGAGAGGCTGTCGCATTCGTTCGTCGCCGGACGGTGGGAACCGGTGAGGCCGGAACACTTGAGTGAGGAGAAGGTTGATGAGTTGATTGAGAAGCTGCCAAAGACTCTGTTGGATGCGTTGCTGCCTTTCCAAATGGATGGATTGAAGTTTGCCTTGAGAAGAGGTGCTCGTTGTCTCATTGCTGATGATATGGGCCTTGGGAAAACACTCCAGGTAATTAATCTTTGTGCTTCACATTTTGGTAATTCTTGGTTGAATTGTTCTATATCAGTTACGAATAGAATGATGTAATGACTAATTACTTGGAAATGCATATGGCTTGCTTGTTTGTTTCTTTTTGTTTTTGAATTTGTTTTTTAGGCTATTGCTATTGCGGGATGTTTCATGGATGAAGGTTCCATACTTGTTGTTTGCCCTGCTGTTTTGCGTTTTTCTTGGGCGGAAGAGTTGGAGCGTTGGCTTCCTTTTTGTTTGCCTGCTGATATCCATCTGGGTAATTTTTTTTGCCTTTTCCAGTGAAGTTATGTTGTGTATGATGCTTTATTTTGTGCTACTTGTTAATATTGAATGGCAGGGGTGATGTTTTTATTTTGGATTATTTGTTATCATTTATTATTAAGGGATTTTGGATTATTTTATTCCGGCTTAGAATAGGAATATCTTATTAGGGTTTGGCTGAAACTTGAGTCAGAGGAGCACTCCACCCTCGAGCCACACTTTAGGTTTGTTGTTTGTAGGATATTTGCAATAACAGTACGGTACATGCATTCAAAGATTATGTTATTGTTGAATCTTTTATTAGAATGCACAAATATAATGGTCTTCTAAAGATATATTATGCTAAAATTGGTTTGAGATTAGGAGATTCAAATTAGAACAAATAATGGGTTTTGATTATGGTACTTTTACTACACGGAAATGTAGGTTAGGTGAATCAGCCACATTTTAAACATGGTTTGAGAACTCTACTATAAAAGTAACTGTATATGGATGGAAGTTTTGTTGAATTGATGGTTATTTAAGAATAGTTTGCTGTTACACATAATAAGAAGATGATGATGAGTTTGCCCAAATTGGGGCTTTTTGGTACTGTTAATTTTAACTGCACTAGAAGGTTTGAAGCTCATATGATTTCTTCAGGATATTTAGGAATAATGAATTAGGGCTTTAGAAGAAGTTTAGTGTTATGTAGTCAATAAAATAAAACCAACTGTCCAATGCTTTTCAACTTGGTCTTATTGCATTGTGCAAACAAGACCAAAACTCTGCTGAAACTTAAAATTGAAGCTTGGGTTTGTGTTCGTGTAACATTCCAAATCTAATATTCCAATATTAAAGGAAACAAACAACAATTGGAATTTGTATTTCAACCAGAAACAACTCAGAAATCATCCAGAGTGTTACAATGAAAGCCAAAGGTTACAAGAGGATTGATTGAATTAACCAAAACACAGAGACAGAAAGATTGACAAGATGAGGATAGACTCAGAAGAGTTTGAGAGCTTCTGATCTCTCCGAAGAGCCTAAGTCCTAAATTCCCAAGATTGTGTTCTCTTATAACAGACTTCCCCTTTCTCATTGATGAGTCAGCATAGAGTAAGTTGGAAGATTATCATTCCCTGAAATGCTGCCTACGATACACCTTAGGCTTTGGAGGGATTGTATCAATACCACCCCCCCAAAAAAAAAAAAAAAAACACACTCACACAAATGAAGCATCCCAAGGTTAAAAGAGGGAAACTGTCTGTTCAGCACTAAACTAAACTACTCTATCATGTTGGCTTTGAGTTCTGGACTGATGCTATACAATATGCAAGAAGTCAACTAGACATGTGCATAAACTAAAAATTGAATGTGTGAAGTGCTTTTCAATTTTTAGTTTTCATCCAAAGTAATTTTGTAGATTGAGTTTAATTTTAATAATTTGGATATTACTTTCCCTTTTTGCTGGATGGTTTTTTATTCATATCTTTGTGGTGTAAGCTTCACTTTCTTCCCTTACTTAGTTGGAATTGCTTCTTTCTTCAAATCCAGTCTTTGGCCGTCATGACAATCCTATATATTTAAAGAGATGCCCTAGGGTTGTGGTTATCTCTTATACCATGCTCCATCGTCTAAGGAAGAGCATGCTTGAGCATCAGTGGGCTCTCCTGATTGTTGATGAATCTCATCATGTACGATGTACAAAGAAAACCTCAGAACCAGGAGAGGTATGCACTGTTTCCATCTCATTTTCTTGTTTTTAAAATTTAAAACACAATAAATAAGTTTGCATTATGAGTAGACGCCAATTTCCTTTATATTAAAATTTGTACATATTTTATGTGACATTTGTAGAGTGTTAGAAATATAACATACAACATAAAACTATTGATCTACCTTCACCTAACAAGTTAAGCTTTTGGGTTGAGTTGGTTGCTTGAAATTATAAATGAGTCTGTGACTAAATGGTCCATAGTTCGATCCTTGCTGCCCCATTCTTCTAATAATCTTTTTCCAAATATTGTGGAATTTCTTAGCATAGGTAGGTGAGCCTGTGATCATCCACTCTTCAGTTCCAATGGACTCTTGTGTGAGGGAGGGTGTTAAAAATATAATATAAAATATAAAACCATTTATTTGCCTTCACTTAATAGCTTAAACTTTTGGGTTGAGTTGGTTGCTTGGCAGAGAGAAAGGATCTTAGAATAAGAACTTTTATTTTGTTGGATGTGTTAGTAGCAATGCATTCATTCATTTCTGTAAAGCATTGATTTTCCTTTGCCTTTGTGTGCATATGGGCGGGTGTGTGGAAACTGCTGCTACTGTGAAATAAATATATTAACTTTTCTTTTGACTTTTGCATTTCTTCTGATGTGGTACTCCAAGATAGAAGCTTCCTACAAATGATGATGATATCATAATTGCTGCTAAAATTACTACCATGGTTGTCCGTCTTTTTTTTCTCGTTGTGAATGGGCATTTACATTTTATTAAAGTCAGTGTATACAAAAGCAGGGCTGATTCATACTTTTTTGCTTGGTATGAGAGCTACTCAGGATTAAAGAACTTGTTGGATACATACTTATTAATCTCGGATAGCAGCGCGTAGCGGCTCACCCTCCATATTGCTATAGCGCTATAGCGGGTAGCGCTACAACACTATTGCGCAAAGTGTACCTAAGTGATACAGTAAATTGTACTCTACAAATATAAAACTTAAAATGTGAAAATGTGACATAAAAACCAAATTTGAAGGATCTCAAACTCAAAAATAATTGATTTCAAACATTAAAATTCAAATCATAAGAAAATTGAAGGAATTAATGTCTCAAATAATGTAACACAACAAAATAAAGTGGCAAAATTAGTCAAAATTCAAACCGCCACTCAAGTGAAATGTCAAAATCAAAGGACTTAATGAACTAATCATAATTGAAATCATGAACATCCAAATCTTCATCTTCACTTTAACTTGTATCTAAGTTGTTAATCTCTTCCTTCTACGACGAGAAACACTTTTGTAGAAACTACTGTAGCGGCACAATAGCGATGCGATTCAACTGCAATAGCGGCCGCTACATCCGCTACACTTCACCTGACCGTAGCGGTGCGGTCTGTGGCGGCCGGCCACTGCACCGCAACGCAACTCCGCTATAGCGCACTAAAGCGGAGCTATTTACTAGTATGGTTGGATATTGGCATAAGTTGTAAAGCTTATTAATAATTTTGGGGTTTCATGTGAATTTGGATGGAGGAATGAGATTTAGTTTAGTGGGATCGGAAGATTTGCATCTGGGGTGGGTCTGGGAGTCAAACAACTCTTTTATGCACAAAAGAAGTAAAATCCTTTTGCTTTGATTTCTTTTTTATTTTTTGGAAGAACTTCTTTTAGCAGCTGGATTCATGTTCTTTGTGTGCCTTATTTTAATTTAATGCATTATCCTTTATATCTATATTTTTTATTTAGCTAATGCTTAAAGAGGTGTTTATGTGTTATCATCATGTCTTTTGTTTTAACAGGTAAAGGCTGTCCTTGATGTGGCTTCGAAGGTCAAGCATATAATTCTGTTATCAGGGACACCTTCTTTGTCAAGGTTGTAGCATAGGTCAAAGCAAGCCATCTGCATATGCTTTGATGCTAATAGTAATCCTTGGAATGAAATTATGAAAATGAAAAGTCTCGTGTTAATATTTTGATTGTGGCTCCATATTTCTTAACTTTCTGTTCTTTGTTGTAATTCGGGTCCTCTATTATTTTTTTGGTTATTTTAACTTCGTGTTTTCTTGTTTCTTATGGTGCATTTCTTCCTAGGTGCTCATAGACCGTATGACATATTTCATCAGATAAATATGTTATGGCAAGTATATTCACGTTGAATATTTTCCATATCTAAAATTTCTTTCTACCAAGCCTATTAATTCTATTTTTTGGGATATGCTTCTATTTTCCAGGCCTGGTTTGCTTGGGAAGACTAAATACGAGTTTGCAAAAACTTATTGTGATTTCAAATATATGAAGGGCATCCAAGGAAAATATTTTGCGGTAATCCTGTTAGAACAGCTCTTAATATCCTCTGTGTGTGTAATGTATTTATGTGTATAGTTGGCAAATTGTTTTGAGTATCTTCTAGCTGCTCAGTAATGTCTCACAGAAGAAGAGCACTAACTTCTATGTGCCTTATATGAGGAATATGAAAAATGTTATTCCCATACCTTGGATGCTATTCTTAAGGAAGGAGAAAGTGGGAGACATTTGGTAAAATTCGTGTTTCAAATGCACAATGAAATTTGGATTATATAGCCAAAAATAATAAATACAGAATAAATATAGGTTTCACCATTATCCTAATTATCGTAATCATATGATTTTGACTGTCCTGTTTACATAATTTACAATATATTAATTGGATAGTTTACCCAGAACTACCAACAGTCTCCCTCAAGTGGGAGAATATAGGTCATATGCACTGTCATGAACCAACTCTCTCAAACTACGATTGGGTTGGAACAAACTACGATTGTCTCTCATTAGGGTTTAGATACTATGTCAAGGAACAAGGGAATGAGAGTATTTGGTGAAATTCGTGTTTCAACTACACAAGGGGGTTTGGATTATATTGCCAAAAATAATATAGAATAAATACAGATATCATGTCCTAATTCCCATAATCACATGATTTGGATTGCCCAATTTACATAATCAGGGAGATTCTATTTACATAATGAATTAAGTTGATAGAAAATGTTGCAAAATTGTAATGTTTTCTGTTTTAGAAATAAATCCAAAGAAAAAAAAAGTTTTTTAAAGGTCTTAAATTTTCTAGATTCTGAGATTGGAGAATTCAATTACTTCTTTTCTCTTTTGGCCTTTGGGAGGTGCAGTTTGGTACCCATCTTTGACATTAAGATTGTCATCTTTGGAGTCTTTAGTTACTTGTGATAAGAAGTGATGAAATTTATATTCTTGGACTTATATTCTTTATGGGTAGTAAAGTTGACACAAATGATGGAATTGTGCTGCAGGATTATTCAAAGGGCATTCGCTTAGAGGAGTTGAACGTGTTATTAAAGCAAACTGTTATGGTGGGATCTCAACCCATGTATTTATCATCTGATGATTACTTCAGCTTTCATTTTTTTTGGACTACTGACATTGATTACCTTTCTAGAAATATTCTTTTGTTCTTATATTTGCTTTGTAAACGACTAGCCTGGCATCTTGAAGCAATTAGAGCAATTTTGCACTAAAATTTGTGCAGCCAAATGAGTCTCTTCGCTAAGCGTGATTTGATTATGCTTTTTTTTTATTTAGCCAACCCCAGCTAGTGGGTTAAGGCTTAATTATAATTTTGGAGATTGCGCATAGGTTGATATCCTTGTTAAATAAAAATAATATGGAAAAGAGATGCCAAATGTTTAAATTCATGTTTCAATGGCACAATAGAGGTTCTATTATATAGAACGACTATAACAATTACATAAGACTAATATAATGATGTGAGACTTCTTATTAATCTATTTTCAATACTTCTAACACTTTCCCTCAAACTAAAGCTTACTTGAAATTGAGAAACCATGTGTATATTGTAACCACATAGAGATCATATTTATATCAATAATTATATGGGTTTGAGTCTTATTAATATGATGTGAGTGTGAGACGAATAGCACAAAACCTATGAATATACATTTTAACACTCCCCCAAATTGGTGCGTATATATCCTAGACACCAAGCTTGTCACCAATGTAGTTGACTCAGGGATGTTTAAAAGACTCGGTGAAGATGTCCGCCAATTGATCATGAGAGTTGGCAAAAGTTGTTTGGATCTCCCCATACTGAATTTTCTCTTGGAGAAAATGGTAATCAATTTCAATTTGCTTGGTTTTTTCGTGAAATACTGAATTTGAAGACAAGTGCAATGCTGCCTGATTGTCAAATTAACTTCATTGACTGAAATTCACATATATTCAATTCTTTGATCAACTACTTCAACCAGATAAACTCACAAGTAGCATTTTCCATTGCACGATACTAAATTGTTGCATTTGATCCAGCCACCATTGTATGCGTTTTACTCTTCCATGAAATTAAGTTAACTCCAAAGAGGACACAATAACAAAGTAGAGAGCGTTTATCCGAGAGAAAGCCTGCCCAATCAGCATCATTGTAACAACAAATCTCTACATTTCCCTTATTTTTATATAAAAATCCTTTGACAGGTGCTCATTTGATATATCAGAGAATCTTAATAGCTGCATCCCAGTGAGAGTTACATAGAGAATCAAGAACAATACTCAGGATGATCATTGCAAGGGAAATATCTTGTCTTGTTACAATAACATAGCTTAACTTTCCAATTAGCCTTCTATAATGACTAGGGTTTGTAAGTGGCTCCTCCTGTCCCAAAAGATGTTTGACATTGGAATCCATTGGTATATGAATAGGTTTACATCCTAACATGTCAGTTTCCTCCAAAATATCGAAGGTATTCTTTCTTTAAGAGCTGGAGATGCCATGTCTAGATTGTGCTACCTCAATAACCTAAGAAATAACGTAGCTTGCCAAGATCTTTAGTCTGAATTGACTGAACAAGTGTTGTTTTTGTTGTTTGATTCAAACTTGATCACTGTCAGTAGATCAAATATCTGAACAAGTGAATTGAAGCGGTTAAACCAAGCCTGAGGTGATTGTTTCAAACCATACAGTGATTTGTGGAGTTCGCACACCAATCCAGACTCCCCCCGAGTAATAAAGTCGATGGTTGCTCAATGTCAATCTTCTTATGCAAATCACCATGTAAAAGGGTACCTTAATGTCTAATTGGTGTATGGGCTAGTGATGAATAACAGGTAGGGCAAGGAAAAGCCAAATTGATTCCATTTTAGTGACTGGAGAGAACTTGTCCTTGTTATACAGGTCAAAGATATGAGTATATCCTTTGGGGACCAAACGAGCCTTGAGACGATAAACAGCGCAATCAAGACCAACCCTAATAGTGAATACCCAACGACAACCAACTATGGATTTGCCTGCTGGTGTAGGAACAAGGTCCCACGTGTCATTAGAGTGCAGGGCAGACATCTCATCAACCGTTGCTTGGTGCCATCCTAGATTTGGTAGCATACTTATTAATCTCGGATAGTGGCGCGTAGCGCCTGACCCTCCAAACTGCTATAGCGCTATAGCAGGTAGCGCTACAACACTACTGTGCAAAGTGTACCTAAGTGATAACTAAATTGTATTCCACAAATATAAAACTTAAAATGTGAAAATGTGACATAAAAAACAAATATGAAGGATCTTAAACTCAAACATAAATGATTTCAAACATTAAAATTCAAATCATAAGCAAATGGAAGGAATTAAAGTCTCAAATATTGTAACACAACAAAATAAAGTGGCAAAATTAGTCAAAATTCAAACTGTTACTTAAGTGAAATGTCAAAATCAAAGAACTTAAGGAACTAATCATAATTGAAATTATGAACGTCCAAATCTTCATCTTCACTTTCACTTGTATCTAAGTTGTAAATCTCTTCATTCTACGACGAGAACACTTTTGCATAAACTACTGTAGTGGCGCAATAGCACCGCGATTCAGCCGCAATAGCGGCCGCTACACTTTGTCTGACCGTCGTGGCGCGGTTTGTGGAGGCCAGCCGCTATAGCGCGCTAAAGCGGGGCTATTCACAAGTATGTCTGGTAGTGCTTCACCTGTGGTTTTATGGATGGATACAAAGGAAAGACTAAATACAAAGATAAGATATTGTGAAGAAATCCAGTAATAACTTAGAATAGCATAAAGCGAGTGAGAATTACAAGTGGATTGATTACCTTTGGATAGAGCAATGACCAGATTGTTTGATGCAAGAGCTAGGGCAAAAAGAATGACAAGTTAAGGCAATGAGTAACTAGGAGTATCTTCTAAGACAAGGTTGTCACAAGTAGGGCAGGAGCGTCACTAATAAGTGATTAGAGGACGAGAAGGTGGTGGTGCAGCCGTAGATCCTAAGACACCTGTGTGGCTAAAGCAGAGAAAGGTTGCTGATCAAAAAAAGGTGAGAGGAAGAACATGTAAGACAAGATTGTGGTCTTCCTTTGGGACTTTCCATATGAGAGGAAGAATGTCAGGAGTTTCAAAAGTTTGAAATAGAAGTAAGTGTTGGGACATGCAAAACACACAAAAATGGCTTAAAAACATCAAATGAGACAAGAAATAGCCGCAAAAAGGGGGCCATACGATCAAACATGTTGATTAAGGTGATTCAAGATTCAAGTATTTTCCAATACTCAGATCCTTTTTTTTTTACTCGAGTAACAATAGCCAGTTGTTAACTAGCTTATCAGTTAAATTTCCTTAACTCAAATTAGATGATGTGACTAAAACAATTCAGTTCAGAATTTATCAAAGGATCTCAAGTACAATCCATATCTAATCCTACGAATTTAGTTCATATTGTAATTCAAAATGGAAACTTTAAACATAATTGAAATCAAGTTAGACATGTCACAACTACATAGGTTCAATTAAACTACACAATTCCTAAAACAAGATCTAAGAAAAGATAGTCCAAATAGAAATTAATTGAAGAAAGAACTAAGAAATTCAATTTTTGCTCCATAGCTGCAACAAGCTCCTTCATGGAGAAGATTCCTCCTCATTCCATTTCCAGAATATGCATAACATCAAATTTAGGTTGAACTCTTTTGTACTTTTTCTTTCGCATCTATACAAAATGGTGAAGGTAGAGAGAGATGAAAAGAATGGTGATGTGCTTGAATGAATGTAAAAAACCTAAAAGTGTTTTATGTGTCAGAAGCGTCTTGTCTCTCCATTTTTATGCCTTTTCTCAATTCTTCTTTTTGATTCAATCTTAGCCTTCATTTTTTGTGGGGATTTGATGGTTTGAAATTCTCCAACCAAAATCAAGGTATAAAGGGTCTTTTTGCATCTTCAATGTGGTCCCACGCATATGCAATTCAACTACTTTTTTTCTTGTTTCTCCAAAATTGCCAAATCATTTTAGTGCTCTTTCCTTTTCTTGATTATGTAGTTATAGTTGAATAATATGAAGGTATATTGTATTCAATTGTGTATTAACCTAATACAAAGAGTTACAATATATAGAGATCCTAATGAGCTTAACTGAGAAGCCCAGAATATTAACAGATAGGAAGTAATCTATTCAAATCTAATCAAATCTAATATTTCCTATTCTAATATTTCTAACACTCCCCCTCAAGCTGGTGCGTATATATCATAAGCTCCCAGCTTGTTACATATATGATCTATTCGGGGACCTCTAAGAGCCTTGGTGAAAACATCTGCAAGTTGATCACTGGAATTAACAAATGCTGTCTCGATCTCTCCTGACTGAATCTTCTCTCTAACAAAGTGACAATCAATTTCTATATGTTTGGTTCTCTCATGAAAGACTGGGTTAGAGGATATATGCAATGCTGCTTGATTGTCACAGATGAGCTTCATGGGCTGCTGTTCACAGAGATGTAGCTCCTTAAGCAAATGTTTTAGCCAGATGAGCTCACAGGTTGCATTTCCCATTGCCCGATATTCTGCCTTTGCACTTGACCTTGCGACCACAATTTGCTTCTTACTTTTCCAAGAGATCAAGTTTCCTCCAAGAAGAACACAATACCCCGAGGTGGATCGTCTGTCTGAAGGAGAACCTGCCCAGTCAGCATCCGAATAGCTAGATACCTTTGCATTCCCTTTATTTGTATATAATAAACCTTTTCCTGGTGATTTTTTGATATATCGAAGAATCCTGATAACTGCATCCCAATGGGAGTCACAAGGAGAGTCAAGGAATTGACTTGCCACACTAACTGCAAAAGAGATGTCTGGTCTTGTCACAGTAAGATAATTCAACTTTCCAACTAATCGGCGATAACGACCAGGGTTTGCCAATGGCTCCCCCTGTCCGGGTAACAACTTAACATTAGGATCCATAGGTGTATCAATAGGTTTACATCCCAACATACCAATCTCATCTAGGATATCCAGTGCATACTTCCTCTGACAAATGGAGATGCCCTGCCTAGACTGTGCCACTTCGATTC